CATTGGTAATGTCACTGTCAATCCACCTTGTTGAGGGTCTTCTCCTTTAATGACCCCTCAACTTTCCAAGCATGATGTCCCTCTCCAACGTCAGGTACCATCGAATCAAATATGACTCACACAGAACCTATGAACCAGGGATGCGAATGTTGTTCTGTCCCGTGCCATCCACATAATCTCTACAACAACACTTGAGCCCATAGTTACAGTAATAACGTCAATCCATCTAGTTGAGGGTTTTACTTCTTTGCTGATTCTCCACTTTTCTAAGCATGATGTCCTTTTCCAAAGACCGGCCCCTCCTAACAGCATACTCGAACTATGTGAGACAAAGTTTCACCGTCTTTCCTTCAAACAAACACCCTGGCTGTACCCTCTTTCCAAGATGTATTTCCTTGTTCTCTTAACAGTCTATGGGATATTTAACACTATTCTCCAGCATCAGAACTTAAAGGTATCAATTCTTCTGTCCCTTCTATTCAATGTCCAACTCTCAAATGTATAGCAAATAACTGAAAATACCATGGCTTGGCTCAGGTACACCTTACTCTTCAGCACAGTGGTGAAGTCCCTGACTGTAAGCTTTCCCAATGCAACAAGTTATTTGATTCCCTGACTGCTGTTACCAAGACTGTTGATAGTGAACTCTAGTAAGATGAAATCATTGACAATTTCTATCTTTTCTCTATCTATCATGATGGACAATGACTAGGGAGGACAGAAGGAGAGTTGATGCCTTTGAGCTGTGGTGCTGGAGAAGAGATACTGAATGTACCACAGACTGCCAGGAAAACAAACAGATTCATCCTGGAGAGGATTAAAGCAAGCAACTCCTTGGAGGCAAGGATTCTGGGGCTTCGTCTGACATAGTTTGGACATGTTGCCAGGAGGGATGGATCCTTGGAGAGGGACATCATGCTTGGGAGGGTGGAGGGATGGTGCAGGAGGGGAAGACCCTCTATGAGATGGATTGATTCAGTGACTGGGGTAATCGGGATGGGTGTGTCGGAGGCAGTGCGGTTGGCGCAGGATAGAGCAGGGTTGAGGGCTGTCGTGCATAGGGTCGCTATGATTCGCAAACGACTCGACGGCACATAACAACAACAACAACATCATGATGTTACTGGCCCAATGGTAAGGATTTTTGGTTGGTTTTTTTTTATGTTCAGATGTAATCCATACTGAAGGCTGTATCTTTTTATTTTCTGTAGCAAGTGTTTATAAGTCCTCCTAACTTTCAGCAAACAAGGTTGTGTCATCTTAACAGACTGTTGATGAATGTTCCTCCAATTCTGACACCACATTCTTCATGAAAAAGGCCAGCTTCTCCAACAATTTGCTCAGCATTGAGACTGAACAAGTATGGAGGAAGGATCCCACCCCAATGCATACCTTTCTTGATTTTATACCATGCCGTCTTCCCTTGCTCTGTCCAGACAAAAGCTTCTAGGACTAAGTTTTATATAAACACAATCAAGTGTTCTAGGATTCCCATACTTTTTTGATCCAGCCAGTCAAATGCCTCTGTATAGTCAATAAAATACAAGAAGACATTTTTTGGGCACTCTCTGCTTTCTGCCAACATCTATCTGATATCAGAAATGGTATCACTGGTTCTATGGCCTCTTCTAAATCTAACCTGAATCTCTTGTCAGTTCTCTGTTAATTAATTGTTCTAACCATTTTTGGAAAATATTCAGCAAGATTTTACTTCCATCTGGATTAATTACATTATTCAAGAATCATCTCATTTTGTTGAATCATCTTCCTTGGTAATGGGAACAAACAGGGAACTCTTCCCATCTTTCAAATTTCCTGACACAAATGGGTGAGCACATCCAGAACTACCTCTGTTCACTGAAACATGTCAACTGGTATTCTATCAATTCCTGAGGCCTTGTTTTTGTGAATTCCTTCAGTGTAGCTTGGATGTCTTCTTTCATCACCACTGGTTCTTGATCATAAGTTACTGTCTATAATTGTTCTGTGTCAGTTATTATTTTGGTAGAGTAATTCAATGTATTCTTTTCTCTTCTTTTGAGGCTTCCTGAATCGTTCAGGATTTTGTCCACAGAATCCTTCGGTACTGCAACTTGAGGCTTATTTTTCAATTCTTTCAACTTGAGGAATGCTTAGCAAGTTCTTCCCTTTTAGTTTTCTTTTTATTTTATCGTGTGTGTGTGTGTGTGTGTGTACCCCGTCAAACAGAATCTGACTAGTACAGGAGGAGACTGCCCCTCCTTCTCCAGCAGAGGATCTGGTGGATTTGAACCACGTACCTCTGGGATTGCAGTGCAGGTTCTTGCCACTAGACCACCAGAGCTCCCTTAGTTTTCTAACTCTTGCTGTTTGCATGTGTCATTATAATACTCAGCTTTGTCTTCTCAAACTATTCTTTGAAATCTTCTGTTCATCTCCCTCATAATAGCAATATTGTCCTTTGTTTTGGCCTCTCGATGACCTTCTGTTTTGGTCACAGATGAGATCCTTGCTGTCATCATATAACTCACCTGGTCTTTGGTCATTAGTGTTCAATGCCTCAAACCTAGTCTTGAAAATGATTTTCAAATTCAGGTGAGATAGACTCAAGGGCATATTTTGATTCTTAAGGATTTGATTTCATTTTCTTCAGCTTCCATTTGAATTTGCACATTAACAATATTTTCCCCCAGCAGCATGAAACAGCAACACACCTAGGTGAGCAGACCAGAAGCAGCTGACAGAATGGCATATGAACAACTGATGGTCTGTTCAATAGTCAGCACTTGGCTTGGTTTTGATATCTTATTGTTATTGTTGTGTGCAATCAAGTCAGAAAAGATCTAAAGCTGACCATCCAGAGGTTTTTCAGAGACTGTAAATCACATGGGAGAAGACTCCCTCGCCCATCTATCTTGCACAGAGTATATGATGAACTCAATCAATTCCAACTGCAATTCAAACTATATGCAACGCAGCACCTTACAACAAGGCCAGACCCAGCAACTGCATTCCTATGTATATTTGGGAGCTCTGGTGTCCTAGTGGCAGGAAGCTGCACTGCAATACAGAAGGCCCACAGTTCAAGGTCACCAGCTGCTCCTAACCTAAACCTTGACAGTAGTACTCTAATGTTCTAATAGATATTATTAGCACCTTTCACAACGTTCACAGTTAACACTTTTTTAAATAGCTACAAGGTAAAAACAATCTATGCATCCATCAACAGGTGAATGATAAATGAAATGCGGCATATACACAAGCAATAGAAAATTATTCACCAATAAAGAAAAATAAAGTTCTGATACCTGCTGAAGCAGGTATGAACCTTGAAAGACTTAGGTAATGTGAAAGAAGTCAGACAAAAAGAAAAGTAATAGTGTATGGTTCTACTTATACTGAATATCCAGAGTAGGCAAATGCAAACAGTTCATTAGTGGTTACCAGAAGGGTTTATAAGGACCAGGGGAAAAGGATGTTTAAATGTATAAGAGTAATGAGTTTCTGTTTGGGGTGATAGAAAACACTTGGAATGGGAGCATAATGATGGCTGCACAGCACAGTAAATGTTATTAATATCAATGAATTGTACACTTACTTATGGTTAAAATGTCAATTGTTTTATATACATAAACGCAGACACATTACCATAATAACATTTAATAAGAAGAAAACAGAGAGAAGGGAGGAAATGGAGAATGTTAGAAATCCAAGCTGACTGCTGTTCAGTCCATTCCGATCAATGGTGACCCAACAGGTTATAAGCTACAATTGTTCTGCAGTTACTCAGCTATAAACCTCACAGAGGCAGACCATCAGACCTTCCTTCTGTGGCACCAGAAAAGGAGTTCAAACTGCCAACCTTTAGGTTAGTAGTACATCAAAAAGTGTGCCACACAGAGATCGATACAAAGAATCATACTGAGGACAACATAAAAGTACAGTATGAAACAGCAGAAAGAAATATATTTTACCTTTTTAAGAAAAGAAAAAGATTCGATTGTAAAACAATGAAAGAATTTTTCTTTTACTTTTCCAAGAGAGGAGTGTACTGGTGGGGAGGGTTGGGCAGGGAGAAAAGTGCAACAGTGAATGAATGGAAATCCAAAGTCTCTGTAAATTTTCATTGAACTTAATAATAAAAAAATTTTTAAAAACAAGCAAAAAAAGAAAAAAGATTCAATAACCTTCATTAAATATGAAAAATAAGATTACAGAGTTTTAATAATAATCAATTGTTAAATTATCTAGGTAAATGCAGAGACACAGGGTGAAAAAAGTCAAGTTTTCAGGAATATCTAATATTGATACCTACTAATAAAAGAGATATATCAGTATTCTCTAATATTTGATTGTTAACAAGCAGAATTTTGTATTGTTTGGTAGCATGAAAAAGAAAGTCGAAGGTACATAAATTAACATTAAATAAGCAATAAACGTTCCATCTGTTAAAAATATTCTAGTAGAATATTCATGCATTGTGAAGAATGCAGTCAATGTCACAGAACAACTTTTGTGGAAATTGCTAAATAGAATTTTCAACAAAATACAGTGTTTACATATATAAATGGAAATAAAAACATATTCTAGTTACTCTGAGTATGAAAGTAGAATTATTTTGCACCTAAAATTAAGGAATTAGGTTTAAAAGTATTAGGCATTTAAAACGTCATCTCTTACTCCCACAGTTTCTACAACTTCACTTAAGACTTCAAGGCTGTGATGTATTCTGTATAATATGTCTTAATGCTGAGTATCCCCACTAAGATACAATTCTTCTAATGTATGCTATTTAAATCTGATCTATTCGTAAGTGTTCAATATAAACAGAAACTATAGGATGATAAGGAAGAGAGGTAGCAGATAATTATACCATAAAGGATTAACACCAAAAGATAACTAAGGCGGAAAAAAAATAGCATGCAAATCCTTAGAAAATAACAGAGTTGCAAATGTTAGTGTAACAAAATTCTAGATATTAACTTTTTTTATCACTTAAACTTCTTTTAAAATTAGCTTACCAGAATCATAGCTTGGAGGCTTCATATCTCCCTGATTCAATTCTGTTCCATATTTCAACTTATGGTATTTGGCTCTAAAGAAATAAGAAAACACAAATCATCTTAAAACATTTAAATGAGCTTTAAGGAATGTTATGGGGTTGACATCAGTAGGCAGCAGTCCTGGCTAAATTCTCCTAAAACTTTTTTACATTAAAGCTGTCATAGTGCAAAGACAATACAAGGAGTCTTGTATTACTTTTGGTTAGAACATCAAATGTCATTATAACAAATACAAGGATAGCAATGGGGATCATTATTCTTTATATAATTAAAAATTAACCACACAGTAGTCTAGTTTTTCAATATTCAAATTTCTTCATAATTGCCAGAGAAGAACTCTCCTATCAGAATCAGTAAAATAAGCTTATATTGTAAAATAAACTTGTGAAAGACTATCTTTTCTAAAAACAGATCTTGTCAGGTCATTATGATTCAACAAGTAGGCCTAAGAGTCAATAGTTCCAAGATGCAAACAAGCAAAAACAGCTGAGATCATTAATGCTGAGTACGATATCTCCACTATTCAAGGTAACCTTCTCCTTAAAAGAAAAACTATGGAATGGAATAGAGTCTTATCTTTAGAATGAAAAAAAAATATTATTTCTGTAACTTGATTTAAATCTATCTCAGATTTATTCATCTGGAATCAGAAAAAGAATTCAGACTATGCAGAAAACTGAAAAGGTTTGGAAGCCTCGTGGCACACTGGTTAAGCACTGAGCTGCGGAACAAAAGATCAGCATTTTTAACACATCAGTGGCTTCCATAAAGATTTTTAGGGCAATTCTATTTTGTACTATAGGGTCACTCTGGGTCAGAAGTGATTCAGTAGTATCAGAGAAGTACAATAAATGTCCAGGGTATTAAGACTTGTATAGAAATCATAACGATGACAAGAACAAGAATTTGAAAAAAATCATAGTAAGAAAAGGGGAAAAGACTCATAAATTCATGAGTTATTTTTTCTTTATTAAAAACTAATCAAGTACTTGACAAGCTTTTGTAATTTAAGAAAGTTACTTAAAACACAACTATTTACTCATACAGAATTTTTCATGAAATTTTATCTAAAAAAATAGCTAATAACTATTCTGCAGTTGCAAAGGAAAAATCAAAGTTTAAGAAAATCTATGAAATTAGAGTCAGCTGATCTATATTTAAGAGAAGGGAGGATATGAGTTTTTGTATTGGTCTAATTTTTTACATTTAAAATATTTTATTATTATTAAAAGCTGTAAAATTAAATCATTAAAGAGGAAAAAGAATGCCTATGTGCTACTATGTGGTTAAGTAAAAAGACGAGGTGGTGGTTGCTGTTAGGTGCCGTCACGTCAAGTATAACCCACTGTGACCCTATGAACAACAGAGCCGAACCCTGTCCTATCCTGTGTCAACCTCACAATCTCTCACACATTTGAGCCTATTGCTGCAGTCATCATGTCAATCCACTCATTTCCAACCATGATGTCTTTCTCAAAGAACAGCCTCTCCTAGCAACATGTCCAAAGTATGTGAGACGAAGAAGCTTCACCATCTTTGCCTCCAAGCAGCAGTTGGACTGCAGCTTCTCCAAGAGACATCTGTTTGTTCTTCTGGCAGACCATGGGATACAGTACTCTCCTCCAACATCACAGTTCAAAGACATAAATTCTTCTGTCATCCTTATTAATTGTGCAGATCTCAAATCCAAAGCAAGTGACTGAAAAGACCACAGTCTGAATCAGGTGCACCTTTGTCCTTAAACTGACATCACTGCTCCTCAATAATTTGAGGGTTTTGACAGCAGACTTTCCCAGAGCAATACATCTCCTGCTTTCCTGACTGCTGGTACTTAAGTGTACTGACTGAAGATTCAAGTAAGGTGAAGTAGTTGAAAGTGTCTCAATCTCTTCTCCACATATCATGGCATCACCTAGTGGTCCAGTGATGAGAATTTTTCTTTTCTTGACATTAAGATGCAATCCATCTTAATGGCTACAGTGTTTGATCTTCTGCAGCAAGTGTTGTGGCAATGTGTTAAGCAAGTAAGATTGTGTAATCTGCAAAATGAAGGCTATTGGTGAGTGTTCCTCTAATCCTAATGTCACATTTTTCTTCAGAGTCCAGAGTCCCAAATGATATACTCAATATACAGATTGAAAAGGTATGAAGAAAAGATACAACCCTAATGCACACCTTTCTTAACTTTAAACCACACAGTGTTCTTCTGTTCTGTCTGCACAACACTTCCTTTGTCTAAGTAGGTTGTTATATGCTGTCGAGTCATCTGCGACTCATAGTGACCCTATGTAAACAGCTATGAACCCTGCTCTATCCTTAGCCAATCTAAGGATAGTCACAGTCAGAAAAGTCAGAGACACACCTACCCCTATTACCCCAGTCACTGAGTTAATCCATTTCATCGAATGTCTTCCTCTCCTATGCTGTCCCTCTCTAAGGACTGGTCCCTCCTTGCAACATGCCCAAAGTATGTCAGACAGAACTTCCGAATCCTTGCCTCCAAGAGGAAGCCTGGTTTCACTGTCTCCAAGATAAACCTGTTTGCTGTCCTAGCAGTCCATGGTATATTCAATACTCTCCTGCAGCACCACAGGTCTAAGACATCAATTCTCCTTCTGTCATCCCTAGTCATTGTCCAGCTTTCTGATGCACAGCATGTAACTGCAAACATGGCCTGGACCAGGCATACTTTAAGTGTGCAGATTGACATCATTGCTTTTCAGTACTCTGGAGAGGTCCCTGAAAGCTGATCTAGGTGCAGGTTTAACATTAGCACATGTGTTCTGAGATTCCCATTCTTCTTATTGCTAGCCATAATCTGTTGTGATTCACAAAGTCAAATGTCTTTGCATGGTCAATAAAGCACAAATGGACATTTACTTGGTATTCTTTGCTTTCAGCCAGGAACCATCAGACATCAGAAAAAAGAAAAAGAAAAAAAAGACAAGGTAAAAAATGGTAATCAAAATATTCTTTGTGTTTGTATCCACACAGTCAAATGCCTTTGCATAGTGAATGAAACACAGACATTCCTCTGGTACTCTTTACTTTCTGCCAAGATCCTGAAATAGATTTGTTGTTGTGAAATATTCTGGAAAAGTAAAGCAATGTCAGTGGCACAAATATAATCACTGTGACTGAACTGTAAATGTGGAAACCATATTGACAAATGTTCTAATATGTGTAGTTTCACCTTGAGAAAAATGGGATTCCAGTAACACCTGACTGTGCTCATGCAAAAATCTCCTATTTGGATCAGGAAGCAGTCGTCAGAACAGAGGAAGGAAACACTGTATGGTTCAAAATCAGGAAAGGAGTGTGTCAGGGATGCAGATGTGTCCTGTCTCCATAACTTTTCAATTTATTTGCAGAACAGATCATTCAAGAGGATGGATTTTATGAGGAGGAATGTAGCATCAGGACTGAAGGAAGACTCATCAACAACCTATGTTAGGCAAATGACACAACCATGCTTCCCAAAACTGATGAGGATTGGAAGTGTTTGCTGCAGAAAGTCAAGTACTGTAGTCTTCAGTGTGGATTGAAGCTCAACATCAAGAAAGCAAAAATTCTCACCATTGGGCTAATTGGCAGGATCATGATAGATGGAGAATAGAGTGAGACTGTTAACAATTTCAACTTGCTCAGCTCCAAAATTGACATTGTGGATGCCACCAGTTACGAACGCAAAAGACGAACTGCACTAGGTAAATCGGCTGTCAAGGACCTTTCCAAAGTGCTAAGGAGCAACGATGTCACTCTAGAGACTAAAATGTGCCTGATCCTGGCCACAGTCTTCATAATTGCTAGCTACACATCAGAGAACTGGACAATGACTAAGGATAATAGAAGAAGAACTGACACCTTTGATTTGTGGTGCTGGAGAAGAGTATTGAGCATTTATTCCATGGACTGCCAAGAGAATAAAACAGTCGGTCATAGAAAAGGTGAAACCAAGTTTCTCCTTGGAGGCAAGGATTTTGAAGCTCCATCTCACATACCGTGAGCATGCTGCCAGGAGAGAACAGACCTTGGGGAAGAACATCATGTTTGGAAGAGTGGTGGGACAACATAGGAAAGGCAAACTCTGGATAAGAAGGACAGACACAGTAATTGAAGATATGGGGGCGGTTGTGTTGGAAATAGTGAGATGACCTCAGGTTTCAGAGCCACTGCATATACTATAGGGTTGCTAGGGGTCACAGACAAGTCAACAGCACATCATAACAAACAATAATGTAAGTACATATATATAGTATATTTTCTGGAAAGTTACATAAACCAACAGTTACTAAGGCTCCCCTTGCAACAGGAATCGGGGAGAATACAGGGAGATTTTATTTTTATGCTGTTTGATTAGGGAGCTCTGACACTGCAGCATATAGAGCATTACACTGCTAACCCAAATATCACCCCATGTCTGACACAGCTGCTCCAGGGCATAAAGGTAATAAATCTCCTCCCTGATGGTTTACAGTTTCAAAAAGACACTAAGAATCAGCTGCTAGTTCTGAACCAATGAAAATGAATAAGAATATTGTTTGGGGGGGAGCTCTGGTGGCCTAGTGGCAAGAAGCTGTACTGCAATCCCAAAGGTACACAGTTCAAATCCACCAGATGCTCTGCCGGAGAAGGAGGGACAATTTCCTCCTGTACCAGTCAGATCTGATTTGATGGTACATGCACAAAAAATAATAAAATAAAATTAAAAAATTTAAAAAAAAATATTGTTTGGTTAATTAAGTGTATGCATATATGTTATTTAAATAAACATTTGTGGTTCAAAGTTTTTTATTCACTCACTGCCACTGAGCCAGCTGCTCCTCACAGCGAACCTCCATGGAGTTTCCAAGGCTTTACATTGCAATGGGAGGAGACTGGCCATCTTTCTCCCAGACTGAACCACTAGAAAAGCAGAGCCCTGGGTTAGCAGCGCAACACACTTGAGACATGTTTTTCTCTATTATCAACACCTCTTTTATCCATAAATGTTCATTACCAGAATCAACACTTTCCAGTTTATTTCATGTAT